CCCCCTAAACGGGTCACGTAGTATGAGTACGTTCCCTAAGTATCGTAATCTTAAAGTCGTAGTCTATGGATAGATTATTGGGTTCTGTCATAAATAAATTGACACAGAAATCTTTATAATATGTGTGTTTTTAAAAAATGTTTGTTTAGTGAAAAGAATGGTTCAAGGAATGGCGACAGATTTGATTTTACAATAAGATAATGATTTAAATTATTATCATTATTATTCGTTGACGGTTTAAAATTCTTAAAATAAACAACTAACCGGATATGTAATGAAACAAACCAAATTTTAATATTTTACGTGCGAAAAATATAAAGGTGAGTATACACTAAAGTATTTTCTCAAACATTTCAATGTAATGTTCTTACGAATTGTATAATACAGGTAAAAGTACAGTTTCCAAGAACATTCGGTTTGCGAAAGGTTACACTAGAACGTATCTCTGTTGTTCTGCTACAAATAAATACTCTAGTCTATCCTCACCTTTAGAGTCATTAAAAATAAAACTAACTTGCAAGCAAATTGTTAAGTTTTAGTTAATTATAAAGCTAAATTCGTACAAATATTTAAGTACAATTTCAACAAGCATTGAAAATGCAAATCTAAAAGCTATTTTGTGATATTCACTGCATTGACATTTGTATACATATTTTGCATCTCTTTCATTTTCTTTGATAAAGTAGAGACAACATGTCACCTCTTTACAAGAACTTGATATATTTAAACCACAATTTTACAGGAGAACAATTTTAAACAATTAAAAAAAAACTTGATTAGAAGCCTGTGTGTTCTTTCAGACTATATCTAGATATACATCTGTTCCAAATCTCGTCGAGATCCATTGAGCCGATCTAGAGATACCTTCATACAAACATCCATCAATCCAAGCATTTGCACTAATAATATAAGATTGCTCTCCTTAAAATTGTGGTTTAAAACATAACACGTTGTTCTTATAAATAGGCGATGTGTATACAAGTGTCTTCACACTGTATATACAATGTATACAAGTGTCCACACAGTGCGTATTCTGTATACAATGTATACAAGTGTCCACACACTGTGTATTTTGTATACAATGTATACAAGTGTCATTGCGTTGGAGTTCTACTGTTAAAGTGATGAAATGCTATAAAATGTATACAACCACCTTATCAGTTATACTTGAAGGTAGACTGTAAGCTGTATAATTGTATTCTAATTCTTCATTTGTATTCTTTGATATTTTATCTTCCAAATCATCTAATATTGATATCTCTGTGACTTCATCGTATGAATCTAAAGATTCGTTTGTGGATTTTTCTAATAAATTTTCGTATTCATTTGAATTCGTTGTATACACATCTGTTACTTCTAAGTTATTTGAAGTTGGTAACATAGTTGTAGAGTATATTATTTCTGTATATTCATCTAGTTTTTCAGTTATTTCAGTTGTAAGAGATTTTTCAGTTTCAGTATTAATTTCGATATTTTCATTATCTGTTGTAGTTTCAATGTATTTTGTATCGAATAGATTCACTTCGTTAATTTCTGTTGAAGAATATATTTGTGATTCAGTTGTACTGATTACTTCACTAGTTATATAAGTACGAGTACTTAGTGTTTCTTCTGTATTTAATTCTGTTTGAATTTCTCGTGTTGTTTGTTCTGTGTTTATATAAAATTCATTATTAAATGTTTCTTTCTTTGCAACTAAATTATTTAATTCATTTAATATTGTGTTAACTTCATTATAATCGTTATCTTTATATGTTGTTGATGGTATTTCTGTTGTGACTTCATTTATAATCGATACTTGATTTTCATTATTTAAGTCTTTACTTGCATTTACATTAGTATTATTTGTCATTAAAATGATAGAAATATAATCTAAAAATGGCACTGAATAATTTTTTGTATTGTTTGTTTTTAAATCGTTATTACTTTTTGAATTTATTAGATTCATAAATATTTCTATAAGACCTTGGTCGTCTTTTTTATCTATATCTTTGATATCATCTGTATCAGAGATATATGCAGATTTTTTATTTAATTCATCTTCAACTTCCTGTAAAATATTCCTTTCGTATGTGTCTTGTGAAAATTTAAATGGATCTATTTGAATTTCGACATTTTCAAGTTTCATATTTATCGTTTTATTTGTGTTAGTATCTTGATTAGTTATATTTGTTGGATTTAATAAATCTGTTGTGTCGTTTATATTATTTGTTGTCAGAATTGTTTCTCTCTCTGTTATAGTTTCGGGAATGACAGTAGTTTCATCATCTAATCTTATGCTGTATTTAACATATTTCGCGATTGCCGGTCCTAGTATTTTATTGACGTATTCCTGTAGTTTATTACATTTATTAACGGTGTTAACATCGTTTGAACTTCCCCAGATAATGAAGCCTGATGCTTCAGATTTATACAATGTTTTAAGAACAATGTCCAAGTCTTGCTGTAAATTTTTGATTAAAATTAGTGTGGTCATAGAAAACAAAATAATTCATATTTGTGGTTCCGAGATCCATATCCGAGAGTCAGTGTCTCAGGGATTAAGGACTTGACTTACAATCTGCAGGTCCTGGGTTCGAATCCTGCCATGTACCAATGTGTTTTTACATATGTACATTTATCTGAAGTTCTTACGGTGAATGAAAACATCGTGATGCAACTTATATGAAGTGAACCTGCATTGGGCCAGCATTGGCTATGGCCTAGACACAGACTTAGGATAGGCTCCGAGCCACTCAGTGGGGATGTATGAGATGATAATGAAAATCTGTGGTTCTTGTCTCACCTGAGTCATGAAGCCAGCATCCCTGTACCGGAACCAGAAGTAAGGCAGTATGGGGGCGCCTCCCCCGCCCCTCACCCGCGCCGCCTCACTCACCCTCCCCCGCACCAGCCACGTCAGCTGTTTGCTCGTCAAGTTCACAGAACTGTATATAGATGGGTACAGTGCCGTGCTCTCTGACCATAACCATTTTATCCTGGAAATATAAATTAACAATTGTTATTTCTTTAACTAGATGGCGCTACTATCAGTTTAGAACACGGTATTGACATTTGTATAAAATAAAATTGTACTTTATTAGAGATTTATGATCTAAACGAGGTTAAGGGCGAAGCGCCATCTGCGCTCGGCCACCTCAAGCCCGGTGAAGCTGTAAATATCTCCAGAACGACTACATGGATCTCGCCGAAATTTGGCATAGATGTAGAAAATAGTCTGGAAGAACACATACGCTACTTGTTTTGTTAATTCTGCTCGAACGATGTCGCGGGCGACAGCTAGTAAGACAGTAAAAAGTATTTTAACTCACTGGTTATTTTCTCGTATGACGTTATTTGGGCAAGCTTCTCCGGGGTTGTTTGTGGCTACATTGAAGCAGTAAGGAAAGCCGTAGTAACCCCAACGAGCTCGCGGCCGCAGCTGCTTGGCCACTGATACTGTATTCTGCATGAATTGACGTGCCGCCTCTTCGAAACGGTCTTTCGCCTGGAAGAACAAGAAGATTATTAGACGTAGACGAAGAATAGAAGACACACGGTTATAAAGAGTCTTTGTTAACCCTAATTATCTGTTTTTTATATGTCATAAAGTGACAAACAAGCAAGCGGCCTATAGAGAGCCGAATATACAGATGCGTTGCCGACCTTTAATCGACCGAGGAGAAGACGCCCAGAATAGTCCCCCTTCCTATGGTCCCCACCTCCGGCAAATTCCCTTACTCTTCTCATCCATTTCTCATAGGAAAAGGAAATATTAGAACTTATGCGGATCACAATTTTTATGTTAATATTTTTTTCGTTTTTTATTATTTTCCACAAATTTGAGCAGTGGAAACTTACGGTTTTGGACACTTAGTGTACACATAATATAACGCCTAACCTAAGGTTTCCCTTAGTGGTAGATTAACAAGAGCGGTAGTATTGTTACGATAATCAACCTTGAGATGTATTAGTAAAGCTAAAAACAGTTCGGTTAAAAGTACCAATTAAACAATTAGTAGAGGACGCGCTTCCACTGGACAATTAACAACGTAAATGATCGTAATTGCCGTGTTTAGTTCCGAAACTATCATAGCTAGGTATCGATATCTGTTATCTGTTTACACGTTGTGTTGTATTAATGTCAGAGCGTTGGTGACTCAGAGATTAAAGCTTTTGCTATCTGGTCCTCGGTTCGTATCCCGGAATGTACCAATGTGTTTTTCGATTTACATATGTACATTTATCCTATGATCTTACGGTCAAGGAAAACATGTGTGAAGTCAACTCGCACTGGGCTAACTACGAGCCCCTCAGTAGGGACAGTGAGCTGATAATATTATTGTGTTTTCACTGTATAAAATGTAAAATAACAGTGTTAGAAGCCAGCAACAACATATGTTGCAAGAATGGGCCTCGTACGGTGCAATACCACGACCACAAACAGGCGTCAAGTAGAAACAATTCCAAGTTTCGTCTGATGAGTGTTTCAAAGGCTTACTCGCACTTTTATAAGGAAAAGATGGGAGGAGGAGATGCATCGGCAGGGGAGTGATATGTGATTAAAGGTATGTTAGTTTGTCTCTGATATTGAAAATACTATTATTAAGAGAGTCATTGTCTTAATATGTTATATAGCTACATATGAATGCATCTGGCAACCCAGATTGCGTGCATTTATTAAGGCCACTTCCATCTCGTTGCATTAATTAGGGCTTCACTGATTGAGCAATCAGAGACGCAAGATTACATCGAACAAGGGACAGTAGGACAACTGTTGCGGACTACTATATTTATATTACCTCCTCCTGCAGCCATGTGTTGGGCCACCACCAGTGCAGCTTCTTCTCTATCTGCACAGACACGTCTTTGTACGGCACCAGTACGCCGAAGTTCTGCCGGAAGACAGGCCGCCATGACTCAAAATCTATTATGCCTATACCTGGAAAATAAGTAAAAACTTTCGTAAATTTTTTGCCGCAAACAAAGTCTTATTAAGATTATAAGAATAAGAGGTGTAATCTTTTGATTCCTAATATTAAATTTCTTTTAAGAATGACTAGATTTATGAATAACTCAATCAATATTTTTTGCCGTTTAAGTAACATTTAGTTTTAAACCCCTCATAATAATTTTAATATTTTTATATCATAAGGTGGCTAACAAGTAAGCGGCCACCGGTATTCTCCGAAATAGCAAAGCGCACCTTGCCCATCATCATCATCAGCTTACTATACGTCCCCACCGAGGGGCTCGGAGCCTACCCTAATTTAAGGGGTGTTTTTTTTTATAACATAAGGTGGCAAACGAGCGAGCAGCCACCTGAAATCGCTGAAATAGCGAAGTGACCGTTGCCCATAGACATACGCAATTGTATATGCGTTGCCTACCTTTAACCGACGGAGGAAAGGCCTTAGAAGAGAGAGGGATTAGGCCATAGTCAACCACGTTGCACATAGACATGCGCAATTGCAGATGCGTTGTCTACCTATCATCAACGAAGGAGAAGAGGAACAGAAAGAGGATGTAACCCCTCTGGTAAATACACTTTTTCTTTGGAAGAAAACGTGGATTAAAATTAGACTTATATAAAATTGTGAACTTTATCAAAATCTAATTTTAGTCATAAAATTTTAGTTAATTAAAAATGTTTAACATATTCCGCTTGACGACAAGATAGTATAATATAATAGGACAGGTATAAACAGAGATTGTTGATTAAATATAATTCACGTTATTTACTGAGCAATCAAATTAACAAGCAAAAGTAACTAAACGTCTCCTATTATCAGTATTAAGGTAAAACCCAGATTTTGTATACTTTTGAATTTTACCAGTCATTGACACTAAATTTTAAAATTGCTGTTTTTGTAACCTTTTATGGAAAGGGAACAAACAAAATTTCCTGTTCATTTGCGTCCCGGAGGCCTAATTTAGTTACCCTTCCCACCCTTTTTCTTATAAGGAAAGGATAGGAAGTGGATGTGAACTTTCCGGATGAGAGGATGCATGGAAAGGGAAAATATTTTCTCTCTGTGCATCCTTTCCTCCGTCGATTAAAGGTAGGCAACGCATATGTAAACACGTATGTCTATGGGCAACGGTCACTTCGCTATTTCAACGATTTCAGATGTACGCTCGCTCGTTTGCCACCGTATGATATAAAAAAAAATGTCAAAACTTCTTTCCTTATCCTTACTTTCTTTACCTTTACCACGCAAATCGTGGGATACAAATTGAATACTTCGACTTGACAACAGAGTAATACAATGTTATTAATATTATAAATGCGAATGTTTGGATGGATGTTTGTTAGAAGGTATCTCCAGAATGGCTGCATGAATCTCGCTGAAATTTGGCATTCATATAAAACATAGTCTGGAAGAACACGTTGGCTAATTAAGTCGCGCGTGACAGCTAGTATACTTTAAATGTTTCCTGTCTTCTTTGAAGTAGGACATATACATCCAAAAATGTCACGTCTGTTAATACGTCTCTAGATTTTAACATAAACGAATCTTTCATCTGGTAACTGGTAAATAAATATTTGAACGATAGCTGTTTGTCATAGCATAAAGAAATAATTGTCATATAAACAAAATGATGACTAATTGCAAGGAATATGTTTATAGATTAACATCTCTTGCACGAGCTGTGACGTCATTGATACGTCATCAAACCTGCATATGACTCAACATGTGGACTCCGTCCGCACGAAATTAAAAATATATATAGCCTATGTTCTTCCAGACTTTGTTCTACATCCATTAAATTTACCAAATTTCATAAAAATCCGTTAAGCCTTTCTGGTGATACCATCCATCCATCCATCTATCTATCTATACAGTCGCATTTATAACGTAAGAAGTAAGATTTGTGACGGTATGTGAAGCTAATTCCAAAGTTATTTTTACGATTAATTGCCAGCAGAGAACCAATATCCGAACTTCGAAGTATTCGAATTCGAAGTTCAAAGTCTCCTTTTAATATGAACTTGCGGACTCGAAAAGTTTCCATAGAAGCGACCTTGTGTCATCTAATTATTGGCTTCTGTGACTCGCGTTATTGTTGTTTGATTCGATACTAAGCATCAATAACTCATTAATTAAGACATTAATCTGAACATGTCAGTTCAACTATAAATTTTTAATATTGTTTGTTGTATATTTAATTTTACTGTCACCTGCGATTCCGTCCAGAGGAATTGAAAAAAATACTAAATTAGTAACCTATGTGTTCTTCCAGAATATTTTTTACGTGTATGACAAATTTCATTAAGATCCGTTCAGCCGTTCTGGAGATACGTTCTAAAAAACATCCATCCATCTAAACATTCGCATTTATTATATAATATTATTAAATTAACAATTGTTATTCTTTAATATTGATTTGTTTTTTTAATTCTTTAAATTTTTTTGCAATGTGTGCGTGCGACAAAGCCATTTCATAAATATATTTTCTATAATAAGTAAGAAATCTTTAAAGCTTAATTGTGTACAAGTCAGAAGGGATTAGAACTGACAGCTGTTAAACGGTTAAATTAAAAAAATATAATACGGAACCAAAGAATGTAATTATTTTTACCTTCAGATAAACATCCATCCATCCAAACATTAGCATTTATAATATTAGTAAGTACACGCCAGTTAAGATATTCTTAAAGTTACAATTTCAGTCAGAATCTATGGTTTAGTTGTTATAAGGGAAAATATTATTTTAACCATAAATAATTTTTACCGTAGGTTTTTTGCAATACGATAATATTTCCCAATTAGAAGGTTTTACAGTTAATTAAATTAAAAATCCTAATTACGTTATATTAATTATAATATTTAACATAGTTTCGTCTATCCGTGATGATAATGAGTCGTTACCAACACAAGAGGAAATGAGAACTAGATTTTAGGGTCACTATACAACTGTCGAAATCTTTATTAAATACAATTTGGTATAGTTTTACCATCATTATAAAACAATAGGGTTTTTAATATCATAAAATGGCAAATAAGCGAGCGGCCACCTGAAATCGCTGAAATAGCGAAGTGACCGTTGCCCATAGACATACGTAATTGCATATGCGTTGCCTACCTTTAATCGACAGAGGAGAGGATGCACAGAAACCTCTAGTCGGCAATACAATAATAAGTTAAATCCTATATTCAAAAACTTACCATCAAATTTTTCATCCGGTATACTCTTCTCCACAGTAGACCTGAATGCATCAAGATGACTTGTTATATTTCCTTCTTGGGGCACACCTCCGTTCCTGAACTTGAATTTCCCGCTACTCTCATTCTTCAGGAGTGCAGGGAAAAGACCAGGGTCATATAGAATCGTTACCTTTTCACCACGGAAGCTATCATTTGAATTTTGTATGATACCATATTTCTCATAAAGATTAGTAAATGGTAATTTCTTTGATTTGCATTGCATTGTTGGTACATTCCAGTACACGTTGAACGGTTTCTGTGATCTGACTGTGGTGACATCTGTCGGCATTTCTATCACGTAGTAGTTACTGGAAACAAAAGAAAAACAAGACTGTTTTAAATTACGACATTCATCTATTTCACTGTTTGAAAAATTTCACTGTTGGGAAGCTTCACTATCTTCAAGAGACTTAGCTTAAAAAAGGGTCTTGACGAACATACGGACTGAGAAAGTGATCCTATAAGGGTTACGTTTTTTTCCTTTCGAGGCACGAAACTCAAAAAATTTATATTTTTTTTTAATAAACCAGCGTGGACGAAGTCCACCACCATGTGGGATGCAAGCTAGGCAGAGAGAGAGAGAGCTTGGACGAAGTCACAGGCAACTGCTAGTTCTAAATAAGTAGATATTTAGTAGATTATAGTATAATAGCAGATATCAGATAAGTTTACATATGAATACAGATAATATATTGCTAACACAAACAAGGTATTGTAAATGTGTCCTCACGTTAGCTATCGTTTTGCAACACTAAATGCGGGTGTAGTTCTATTGACTAGAAATATATGTATGATATAAAAATCGATTACTGTTCTTCTTTTAAAGTAAAAGTAAAAAAAAAATGATTTAATACTAATATGACTGCGACTTCGTTCGCGCTCTTTTCCGGGATAGCCTCTGTGTTTTTCCAAACTATGTTCGATATAGTGACAAGTTATGTTTTTAAATATTACTTCATTTTCAATTGCTGTTCCATATTGAATGACCTATAAATTCAGCATAGATGTTTCGATTTAAAACTCATCCATTTCAATCTTAACTATTAAAGAACAATAAATCAAGAGTGACAAGTGACATAATACTTTTCGCGCCTCAAATAACGTCACCTTGACAGTGACATACGATCGCGGCGCGGCGCGGGTCAATGAACCGAAACCACTTGACCAGGGTTACCACGTTACATAATTTTACCTAAATATGCTTGAAATAAGTACGAATTAAAATATGATTTTTGATACAATTTCTAAAAAATAATCTCCATGTCAATGCACGCTATGTTCTCCGCATCAAGTTGTCATTCTCCAGATCTATCATTCGTTATTTTCATGTAATTTTTAATTTTTAAACTATACTCAAGTAATAATATTGTGAAATTTCTAATTGTTGCGTGGATTTAGATGAGATATCACATCTTATTTATATTCATAGTCGTAGAGTAAGCAATGAAAAATGCTTGTCATTCAAGATTGCTTCGGTTATTTAAATTTGTTTGGTGATAAAAATTATTAATAGGGTACATTTTTAATTGCGTTAGATAAATATTAAATAGGACGTAAATTTTTATGATTCTAACGTATCATACGATAACATAACATACAAATTTTACAAAATTATTTTTTTAATTTACCTTTCCACTTACAGCTTATTAACTCGAAAGATATATATAATTTCATTTTATTAATATTAAAATTTCTTGTAAACAAATAAATAATATTTAAGGAATTTTATACCACGTACCATGGCAACATTAGACCGGTGTGTAAACAAAACATAACCTATATTTATGATTACGATCGGAGACCGGTCAGCCGCGCTCAACAAAACCTTTATGTTCCTTCGTCGTTCCTTTTTTTTATTACACAAACTGGATTGAGCTTTTGTAATTTATTCATAAATTTATCAACACGTTTGCATAAAATAAAAAAGTATTTTATATAACAAAGAGGTTTTATACATATGAATAATTTTTTTTACCTCAAATACCAACATAATAAATAAAATACAATTGAGAAAGTTCTCTTTTTAACCTTAACCCTTAAATGGACAATGTTGTTTTTAAACAACATACTAAACATCACAGATAAAATTATCTTTATTTTATTTTTTTGTTAATTTTGACAACTAGTTCTTATTTCTGAACGAATTTTGTACTTCATGTCTAGATTTTTTTACTCATTTTTCCTAGACAGTAATACATGTCTATTACACAAATATATTTTTTTAAAACGTAAAAAAAAATCGTCCATTTAAGGGTTAAAAAATTTCCTAATATTCTTCGAATCTTTATCATCTAGTGTTATGAAGTAGATTGAAGTTCTACGAACAGTTTTATCATTTTTATCGAAACCAGCAATGCAATGGTGAAATTGATCACGTAATTACAACACGAGTTTATAAGACCTTTATTTACCATTATATCAAAACTAGCTGTCGTCTGCGACTTCGTCCGCACAAAGCATAGAGTAAACTTAATAGCCTATGTGTATATCCAGACTATGGTCTATGTCAAATTTCATCAAGATTCATTGAGCCCTTCTTGAGATACCTTTTAACGAACATCCATCGATCCATCCATCTAAACATTCGCATTTATAATATTAGTAAGATAATAAAATGTATCTTCAGTTTATCACACAATTTTCAAAAATTAAAAAGTAAATGTCATAGCGGCCATGTTTGTCGATCCTCTGTTTACTTCGTTGTTGGGTATAACGAGATGTACATATAATATTCGCTTGGCAATTTGCACACGCCTTTGTTGAAGGTCTATCGATTGGGTACATATAGCTTGCTTAGATGTATGGAACGAAGGGAGAGCGGGGAATTATGACCGTAGCCTGTTTCAATGGAACAACTTATCGACAACATTCGTGTTAATTTTTAACAACCAAGAAGAATTTTAATAATATTACTAATATTAAATGCGAATGTTTGTATGGATGTTTGTTTGAAGATATCTCGTCTCTAAAATGTAGTCTAAAAGAAACAAAGTCTACTCATTAAGTTTTATTAAATTCCACGCGGACGCAGTCACGGGCGACAACTAGTATTTCAATAAATCAAACCTAAGACTTGTGATCGAATATAACAGGAATTCAAGAAGTACCTGGAATAAATTAGTACTTAGTAAAACTTACGCGCTGCGCAGACATAACACGAAATCTGCTCGTAGGACCAAATGTCTTCGTGGAATTAGGACGGTTATTTCTCGTTTGTTTACTATCGACATTTTCTAATAAATTATATTTCAATTGTTTTATTTTCTAAATCTGTATACTTGGAAATATATCATTAAATTATGCAATATTTTTATAGCAACTCTATAAAATTATTATTTTTAATTTTGATGCTAAATTTTTTTAAGACGCTGTTACGAACACTTACGCCCTGCCTTTATTTGAAAACGTTATCTTTAAGTGTTTAAGTACAAATAACTTTAATTTGATACAAATCTTTTAGCCATATTGGAAGGTAGTAGGTAAATAAAATAAAAAAAAACATTAAAAAGACCGAAAACAAACATTGTAAAAATAGTGCACATTTATCAAAAATCAACAAACTTCAAGTGCCGAGCTGTGATTGTGGAATGTTTGTAGTCGCATCCACTTTTCAGTTGATTCATACATATAATGATGGATAACCATTGCGAAACAATTGTAAAAAATCTCTCTCAACAGTGGTAGACGCAACAACATCCGTTTGCACAAATTAGCCAAAGAGTATATAACTACTTTGTAGTATTTTATAACTGGCCGGTTTGCCTGATGCAATACCACGACCACACAGAATACAGGCGTCAAGGGGAAGTCATTCCTTATTTAGTCTGATGAGAGTGCGATCCGGAGACCTAATTTTATTCCGCCTTTCCTTACCTTACTTATCTTTTCTTAGGAGGATAGAATGGGAAGGAAAGTTGGGGTCGCATAGGAAGGGGAATGTAACTGTGCCGCTCACTCGTTTGCCGCCTTATACTATTACAAAAAAACTCTCTTTAAAATGGTAATTACACTGACAAAATAATAATAGAGAAATAACTTTAAAAACACACAATTTTGATGCAATGTCAGCAATTAAAACTTCACTTGGTATACTAATGAGAGGCTAAAATAATTATGGTCCATCGAACGAATTTATCTGGAACATAGTTATATACTTACTTCTTAAACTCTGAATTAAAAACTCTTCCAACTTTATGAATTAAAATAGTTTAAAAATAAGTAGATAGTCTTCCTTGTGGGTATTACATAATATTTTATTTACACAAGATAATAAAACTTCCAACGTAGCCCAGACAAATATAATATAGGTCACAAATAACGGCCTACACAAATATTGACAGTGAAATGATAAATATTTATAATATAACGTAATATCCGTCTTTCACGTTACGATCGTTTTATATTTAAACTGATTGCGTTAGTTTTTTATCTGTATTACTTCTAATAAAAACTAAAGTTGCGCCATTTAATGCTTCCATTAAAAAGCTTACTCCCTTGAATTTGGCACATGAAAAACAATAGTAGTCGTTTGCACGATGTGCCAACTTAAATACCTATAATTAATTAGGTCGTACTGGCCACAAAGAACGCTTATAGCTTTGATCTGGATTATCTGTGTAATTAAAAGGCGGCATTTCTCTGCGGCTATCGATTTAATCGCAATATTAATTAAAACTTCGCTTCTCATTGATGTAAAGCTTACCGCAGTACTTTGGTCGAATAAAAAAACTTTTTGAATCTGCATTAATAATAAATACTAGCTATCGTCCGCGACTCTATCTGCCAGGAATAAAAAAAACTTAGTAGCCTATGTGATCCTCCAGACTATGTCCTACATCTACGCCAAATTTTAGCGTGATCTATGAAGCCGTTCTGGAGGTTCCTTCTAACAAATATCCAAACATTCTCATGTATATTATTAACATTATGGCGTACTAAAACGACTTATTTTGATATTAAGAACCAGCTTTGTACGCTTTGGTCCCCTTTGATTTTGCGGCTGCGTCCTATATTCATAAGGGTAAACAATTTGAAGAGTTCGGTGTTATTCGATTATTCCAAGAATGTTGAATATTAACTAATAATTAGCGTTAATATAATCATCAAAATCAACCCCTTTTTAGGGTTCCGTACCTCATAGGAAAAAAACGGAACCCTTATAGGATTTCATCACTTTGTTGTCCGTCCGTCTGTCTGTCTATCAAGACCCTTTTTTGTTGTAATAAGCGTCCTTTGATTCCAGAATTATCTATCTACAACACAACGTGAAATTGCCAAGGTTGTATTGTATTGATTCCTGGCCGAGTCTGTTCGAACCTACGAGATGTACCATATCCAGGTCAGGGCTAGACAAACGTAACCTGATTTATGTCGTAGAAAATAATGCTTTATGTCAACTAGAGATAATAAAAAAAACAACAGCCATCTATTAATATTATTGTTTAAATATTAACAGTTTTTTTTTTAATTATTATTTATCAATATTGTATTACAATTGTAAAACTCAAATGTTACAAAATAAATCTTACTAATATTATAAATGCGAAAGTTTAGATGTTTGTTCAAAGATCAAAAATATAAAGGTCCAAAGGGAATCATTGAAATTAGGCCTATATTTAGAACATAGTCTGGAAGAAAACAACTAATTAAGTTTTTTTTACAAGGGCGACAGCTAATAATAAATTACTTTGCCAGCCAGTGACATATGTAAATATAATTTCTAATTTCTATTGAATTTGAACAAACCAGTCCGTCTTACTTTCTATGCAATTTTCAAATTTTTTTATGGTATTTATTATGGCTTTCTAACAATAAAAATCTAAACTTTATATATAGATGCTGAAAAGGTAAACATAAATATCAAGCTTAGTTTTACATGATATGTACATACTATTATTTTGTTTATGGCTAGTGCACTCCTAGGCCCCGAGATACAGAGTCAGCCTAGTTCGGGGTCTGCAAGATACTTCACTGTATATTATTCTAACGTGTTTTTGTGAAATAAATTTATTCTTATTCTTATAACCAAGATATATATTTTACAGTATTATATATAACCTCACTCATATGCAATGTTTTAAATTTTAGACGTAAATTTAAAAAATATTATTTAGAAAAAATAATGCAAATTATATAATGAAACTAGCCGTTGACTGTGACTCCGTCTTTATGGGATTAAAAATAGATAGTAGCCATTCTCAGACTGGCTGAATATGTTAAATATAAAAATCGGTCAAGCTTTAATTTAATAATTTGTTACAAAATTATTAACAGAATGAAAAATATTGTGTTTATTATTTGGAATTTTTCCTTATGTTACTAATAAAAAATGAAAAAAGGAAGAAAACAAGAAACACATTGACATCTAGAAGATTAAATTGGATTTGATAGGTGCTATTTTCAAGCAGTTTTATAAGTATTTTTTTTATAACAGAAGGGGGCAAACAAGCAGTGGGAAAACCAAGGTGTTCAACGACACAAGTGTTGAGACTGTATTTTCTAGTCAGTTCATAAATTAATCATTGTTATAGTTTTATGGTGCTTGAAAAGTGCTGCTTTTGTTGATTGAAGTTGTTGGTACTGACTGCATCCAGCCATGTATGATCTAACATGAATTAGTTGGGATGGGTCACGGCAGACAGGTGTTGAAACTGTGTTCTGAATTACTAATGTAAATAAACCAATGCATTACAACTTGTTTGAGTTTGTTTGATTTTTTGGATCTAGTCTTACAATAATTAGGTAACACTATTTTATTGCCTTATTGTAATAGATTATACCAAAATTGTAAAATTACCATCCAATACTGCCTTATGACTGTCCTTTAATGAGTTTAAGTGATATGTGATAGGTTATAGACATGGTTTTTAAAGAATCCTTGTATGTTTTAAACAGTGAATTTCGAGAAAAAACAGATTTACTTTTGAACAGTAAAAAAAAAACAATTTATAGATATCGATGTCTAACACAGGCACATAAGCTGAAGGATTTATTAACTTGCGAATTTCTTTTGAAATGTTTTATGGTGTTAATCAAAGTTCTTTAAAACTTGTATAAAGAGCTAAAAGAGCATTTCTAACCTCATAACCTAAACCCTCTCATCAGTATTTTGGCCCTTCATATATACAAGTACTTCTTTGATACCTTTGCGTGTAAAATAAAAAAAAACACCTCTTATTTCATATTCATTTTCACTCGTTATGTTTGTTCGTTTAACATTTGACAGAAATAAACTATACGTTGCTATAGGTTACTGGGTTACAGTTACTGAGCTACAGATAAAAAAATAATATTCCGTTACGCACTATATAATATCAGATTTTTAACCCCTTATTTATCAGTTTTTCTCAAATACTAAATTATATCAGAGATAAGTAAACATAACTGTCTCGCTAAATTATTTACGTTAAAAACTAACAATCCAAATAAAACATAATGTATTCCGTTCCATGATCATTCTTTGTAATGTACTGTCTTTTAGCTCTTTTTTCTTGTTAACTTTGCCTTCGACTACAAATGGTACATGTAAAAAAAACTATATAACTTCAATTAAATCATAAGCGTATCAGATTTTTTATCCATGATGTTTGAAAAAACTACAGAGGAAAAGTAACCTTATTTCGTTGGGTCAAAGTTTTGATCTTTAACGAAACAGCAAAGCTCCGTTGCCTAGCAACTTTCACAATTTACTTTTGATTTATGCTATAAAAACATATTTTATAGATTTTAAAAGCCATAATTGAACATAAATAAAGTCATAATAATATAACATTATGAAGAAAGCGGTTATATACACAGGTAGAATAGCAAGCAAATTTCTACTAATTGATAATCAAAACCAATAATGACCTATATGAAAGTTCAGTCACCGACGAAGTCTAGAAAATAGCGAAAAATATTATAAAAAAAACTACTGTTGTGAAGTTAGCAACTTGTGAAGTAACTCAGCGGTTCTTATTGTTATTTGCGATCGCATTATCGCTGACAAGTGGTGATATCAAACGTTTTGTAAAATGTTTTGTCCAGTCATTGCTTAATATAAATTTCACAGAGTGCAGTGTCCATTTGTAAAAAAAAAGCGGTAAACAATATTTCACGATGAAAGTAACCGTTACTACTGTAAATGATGAGATTTTCGTCATCGATGTCGCCGAAGATTTGGAATTGGAGAATTTTAAAGCGTTATGTGAAATCGAATCTGGAGTTCAGGCGAAGAATATTATAATAAACCACAATGGCAAACCATTAATAGGTGACAAGAAATCTTTAAAAGATCACGGAGTTAGTGATGGAGATGTTATTGTGTTACTTCATTTATCTCGGTCCCCTTCCAGCATGACAGTTGATAATAACGATGGGTTGGCAAACCTGGACTTCAGTAGTATCCAAGTTCCTCTCGGTGCCGCTAGTACATCAATGGGTACCGGAAGTGTCCCCGCGGACGAAGACCCTCGACTCATCAGGGAAATGTTCCTCGCAAATCCTGACCAGTTAGCACTTCTCAAACAAAATAACCCACGTCTCGCAGATGCCTTACTAAGTGGTAACCTTGAAACCTTTTCTTCTATTTTACAAGAACAGATAAAGGCAAGATCACAGCGTCAACAACAACGGATAAAAATGATGAATGCAGATCCATTTGATACAGAAGCACAAAGAATGATTGCGGAAGAAATAAGACAGAAGAATATTGAAGCTAACATGGAAGCAGCTATGGAATATAATCCAGAGATTTTCGGTACTGTTGTGATGTTGTATATTAATTGCCATGTAAATGGGTTTCCTGTTAAAGCATTCATCGATTCAGGTGCTCAGACAACCATTATGTCTGCAGCTTGTGCAGAAAGATGTAATATTATGAGACTGGTGGATACAAGATGGGCGGGAATAGCTAAGGGTGTTGGTGTGCAACGTATTATTGGCAGGATCCACATGGTGCAAATGAGAATCGAGAAAGATTTTCTAACAACATCTTTCTCTGTGTTAGAAGAACAACCAATGGATATGCTTCTTGGATTAGACATGTTAAAAAGACATCAATGTATTATTGATTTGAAACGAAATGTGCTACACATTGGTACCACTGGTACGGAGACTCCATTTCTTCCTGAATCTGAGTTACCAGACTGTGCTAGATTATCTGGTAATTCTGATGATGAAATGGTCAATCAAACATTGCAAGAAGGTAAAGACAAGTTAAGACAGGGTCAAAGTAATGTAAATCAAGCAATAGGGACAAATCAACCAGTAACTCAAAGTCCTGTAAGGTCTTCTCCAGGGCAACCTAATGCAAGGGTTGGTCTCGGAGACTCAAATTTGACCGTGTTACCAACAGACCCATTTAGTGAAACTGAAGTGGAAGAAATTATTAATCTAGGGTTCACGAGAGAACAGGCTATTGTTGAACTAAGAAGATTCAATGGTGATAAAACTCAAGCTACTGTTGCTCTATTTGCAAAATCATTAAAATTCTAAGACACAGTGTGTATGGACTTGTGTATGAAACTTAATGTATGTTGGTGGATGGTGGACTTGTTAATAATATTGTAATTAATAATTTAAAATGTGTAACATGATTCCGAGGACATACCAGAATGTTTTTTTAAACAGATATTTTATCTTGAGTTCATGCAAGTAATAAAAAAGTTAGTACATCTTACTATTATTGTAAATGCCATTGTTGGATGTATGGATGGATGATTGTTAGAATATATCTCCAGAATGCTGAAATTTGGTATAAATGTAAAACATAGCCTGGAAGTACACATAGACTACTAATTAAGTTTAGTTGTGTGTCCTACACAGACGGAGTCACAGGCTTCAGTTAGTTTTTATAATATTATTCATGTAACCTGTAATAGACAATAAGAATAAAATCATATTAAAACTACAAATATTGTCTATAGTTATCCATTTCACCACCTGCCTAACATAACAAAAATTTAACTCCAGTGGAGTTTTAGATATCGGGATAGATTTGCCTATGGCAGAGCGAAGAAGATTTTAATCGAAAATAAAATTGAACTTTACGTAATTGAAACAAGGCTTAATTTTTCTTTTCATCTTATGCTCTTTATAAAACATACAGATTAAATTTAAACCTTTTATCAATTGCATAAAACTTAATTTTATTAGAAATAAAAATCTACTCTGCTGTCCGCCTCGGTCTGAATGGATGTTTAGTGTTGAATTTCATTGCCAAAACAAATTGTCATACCTTTTAATTCTCTTTAGTAAAATGTAATGTACAGTCAGCGTCATATAGATCGTCACAGACAAGATATGCAAATATATAGGTACATCAAAAGTAATCAATTATATCGGTACAACAAAAGTCCTCAAAATAATAGATACATTCACCCTGCTCAAATACATCGGTACATACACAGCGTCAAATATATGAGTACATGCAAGATGCTCATAAATATCGTAGCAGCCACAGCGTCATAAGTAACGAAGCAGTCAAGGTGCGCAAAAATATCGGTACATTTGACAAAATTGAACTCTATCTATATATACTTGTGATACAATTTGGAATAAACTACTTCTGTTACATTCATTTGACACTTTGTATTAACATTATAGGTTGTCCGGAAAGTTCGTTCTGATTTTCGATATAAAGCTTACAATAGACTGTAGCTGAAGTGGATTCATTTTCGGATTTCCACCATTATCAAACGTCACAAAAATTTCTATATTGTGAATAATTTCATTTCATTGGTTGAGATAAAAACTAATTTTTAAAATTTTAGCCAAAAATAAAAGACGTTTTAGGTATAGAGTCGTACCAATATAATTTAAAAACATTTCCAAAAATTTAAGAGAACAGGGTTTCAATTTTCCTTATAAAGCGGCACGAACTTACTGGGCAACCCAATATTTTTCTTCTCCTGTCATAACGCTTAAATACAAAAGTTTGTCACGCCGAATATGACAGATACGTAATAACTAATATCAAATTTTGCCTTGTCACAATATATACTAGTTTGGCGCAGTGTTCTAGTATGTTTGCCGTAATATGTTTAATAACTTTACCGGTTCGAATCTCAGGCTTCTTTTTTTATCATTTTATCAATCACGGGGTTATTTTTTCATAACTAGTAAAAATTTGGTAATGTAAAATTTTGCTCGACAATTTTTTTTTATAATTTTCGCTGTCGGGTAGAAAGAAATTTAAATAAAGTTAACAACAACTAGGTTAGACCATCGCGGGTGAAGTGAGTGGTCGGAGCGTGGATTGTTTTTGCGGGTTTTAAGAATGGTACGCGCGGAAACTATACGTACAAGTGTTATCTACATATGTGTGCGCGCCCACGCACACTGGAATGTTTATTGCAATCGACCAAAAATTTGATGTAGTTTGGATATTGACATTCAGTTTTTTTTCTTTGTTTCTTAAATATATTCAGTATCAGTAAAAGGTAAAAGTAAAAGTGTTATTTTTACCGGTACAAGTTTAACAAACATGAGTAATAAACAAATTACATGTCAATAGCATCGCTTTATCTCCTTCATTTTTGTTTGAAATAGAAAAGTACTTTAACGGTCAAACTCAGTCCAAGGCAATATCAAAAAGTACCTAATAACTACGGCGATAGAGTTTAATTACATGTGCTTCGATATTAAAATTAAAAAGTTAAAAAAAAAATAGTTGCTTGGGATTTGATCCGCCGAACTTACGTACCAACGGCGGCGAACGGTAAGGCCACGAGACCAAACTAGCATATATGATGACAAACTTAAATTTGATGTTGGTTTTATCTACCTAATATTTGTCATCCGCGTCGAACACTTTTAGTAAATTTTGAAAAATGGTTTGATGCAAAGTGTCAAATGAATGTAACAGAAGTAGTTTATTCCAAATTGTATCACAACTATATAGAGATAGAGTTCAATTTTGTCAAATGTACCGATATTTTTGCGCACCTTGACTGCTTCGTTACTTATGACGCTGTGGCTGCTACGATATTTATGAGCATCTTGCATGTACTCATATATTTGACGCTGTGTATGTACCGATGTATTTGAGCAGGGTGAATGTATCTATTATTTTGAGGACTTTTGTTGTACCGATATAATTGATTACTTTTGATGTACCTATATATTTGCATATCTTGTCTGTGACGATCTATATGACGCTGACTGTACAGGTTTTTAACAGAACCACTAAATTACATGTTGCATTTATTTCTTAGGATTTATTTTGTAATATCAAAAGGTACATAGCCGTCAGCCGTGTCGTTTGAAGCGTCAATAGCCTAATGGTTAAAGGTACGGATTTCCGACCACGAGGTCGGGGGTTCGAATCCCGCCATTTGACTATTGTCGTAAACCATATCCTAGCACAAGCCTAGAGCTTAGTTGGAATGGTTAAAGAAATATTAGTAAATTTACAAAAAAATCTGCTAATATTTCAAAATAAAAAAAAAAAAAAAAACATAAAAACGTTAATATAACTGAATCATTAAACTTAAATAAGCTGTTACATTCTATGTAAACATATTTATAAGAAACTCTAGTAATAACTGTATTTTATTTAATCTAAGATACTCAGGAAATAAATATATAACTGAATAATGATTTTTTTTTATTATCAAAACCCTATACATACATAAAAAATTCCACTGATTTACCTTGGGTTTCGGAGATCATAATCCCCGTTTGAAACATTGTTGTCAGTTTTGTCAAAGATAATAACAGGGATTATGTTATGTTTTATACAGAGATTTTGGACTCGGAAAACCACGGTAAATGATTTTAATTTTTATTTGAGTCCTTTTAATTAGTGAAACTAACATGTCTGTTTTTAATAAGTCTGTGGTTATAGCTTTATAAATGTAAAACTTTTTGAATAGATAGATAACAAAAGTAGTTTACTTCCTTGATTAAAAAAAGAAAATTATACTTTTATGGCATAATTTAGTTAACCGTATGTTATCACTGACGAAACAGCTGTATTAAACAATGGTGTTTCTTTTTTTTTTCAAATAGAATGAGAGAAAATAATGTTTTGTTTGCGTGTTTCGCCAGTGTAAATCCACAGTAAACAGATGTTACTTTCTTTAGACGTGGTTTATTATTTTATCAGAGATTCTGTTCGGACCGTGTTTGCGCAGTTTGAAGTCTTTGACTCTTAAAAACAAACATTTGAAGACAAAGGGTTTCTTTATAATTAGTAACAATGTGCAATTTATTATGTGTTTTATATAGAACAGATTTGGTGCAATCGGATAGAGAAAGGAAAAATATAAAAGATCCTGTCATAGCATCTCTAAGAATAAATTCAACCATAATGTATGTAAATATTTTTTTATTCTTGATTAGCAGTTGCTCACAACTTTGACCTCGCGGAATTAAAAAAAAAGCAGTGATAAATAACTGTCAACCGTGAAGTGTTTTAAACAGTGAAAGAATTATTCAAATCAGTTTAATACTTTCTATGCTTATTCAATGAAAATAATCAAATCATTCCTTTTTATAATATTAATATAGATTAAAATAGCTGTATGTACTTTTGCCCATTAATTTTAAAAGTGTCAATTTTTAAGTACATTCGTTAGAGCATTTTTCTTAAAAAGAGGGAAAAAATTCTGCATATAAACATGATGATTCGTAAAGTGTATTTTTATTAGAATTATTAGAGTAGTTAGTTGCGTAATTGTATATTTACTGGTATTGTCATAACCACAATGACGTGTAACAATGAGATAAATAATAACAAAACAAATATCAAAATTATTCCGTTACTCTACGGCATAACTTTTGACACGTCATAGATTAGGTTAGGTTAAATAAAATACATAGATGGTTCTGTTCACTAAGTTTTTGTTTTTTTATTTTTTGGAAATGGAATATGAACAAAGACTCTATACCCTCATTTGGTAAAAGGAAATTTACGGAAGACAGTAAATAAATCATAGCAGCCGTTTGAAGTGAAAATTACTGGCCGGTTGCCAAATTGAAAAAATACTGGTTAATGTTTTGGATTTGGCACTGGGTGGTAGTACAATGAACTTTTTTACATCTTTTTTGTGACGTCACATTACGCACGGTCACGGGATGAGGATCTTTAACCCTCAGATGATCTGGTGGAGACATGGCATATCTTATAAAGCTGCAAAGAGAGGGTAAATATCCTCCTTCTGTGCGCTCTTTTCCCCTTCGATTAAATATAAGCAATGCATCTACAATTGCGGTTGTCTATGAGCAGCGGTCGCTTCGCTATTTCGACGAATTTAACTTGCCGCTTGCTTGTTAAGCACCTTAAAGAAAGTAAAAGAAGGTGTGATTAGTCCTTAGTCAACTACGCTGGTCGGATTTATTGAATTTACATCTTTGAATTTCTCAGATAATGATGTGCAGGTTGCATTACGATATTTGTCTTTACAATTAGTACGTCAGATAAAATTTAAAATTCGAACATTGAAAGAGATCGGGATCGAACCTAGGACTTGCATAACAAATCTGGTGTCAAATTTTGCCATGTTTATTAGAAATAGTAAGTCAGTGTAAATATAAATAAATAATTTTGACTAACGGAAATATCACTAATGTGATTTATAATAAAATATTAGTTTTAATTACTAATTTAATTAAAGCATCAATTACTATAAATGCAGTGTTGCCAACATTATACATCGCATTTTTAATTTTTTTTTAATTCCATAGTCTATAAGTATAAAAATACAGACAACCCCATGGTCTGGTCCGGCAAAAGTCCTGACAGAGGAAGACCTGAAACCCGATAGTCAGACATTATAGAAATAACAAGTAAATCCTGGTCGAAAACGGTAACAGATAAAAAATGGAAAATGACTGTGTATTTTTTCATTTATTAATTTAGAAAATAAGAGGCTAATTATAATAATTATTATAAGGATAACATTTTGTTTGTTAACTTTTTTTTATCTTCTTGTTCGTTGACAATTCTTTGTATGTAAAGCAATGTATTTGCTAAATGCAATTTTTATGTGTAAAGCAGTTAGCACATATTGTGAGGGTTTTTGCGACATTGTTACGACTATTCATAGTTCTGCAATAAAACACATTCTCTTATTAGCCTTATAGAGAAATTTATAGCAATATTACTATCATACTAATATTAAAAATGCGAAAGTATAGATGTATGGATGTTTGCTAGAAGGTATTTACGGAACAGTTAAACGGATCTTGATGAAATACATAGATGTAGAACATAGTCTTCAAAAACAAATAGGCTGATTAAGTTTTTTTTTAATTCCGCACAGACGAAGTCTCGGGCAACAGCTAGTAATAATATAAATTAAAATTATTGAATAAGTAAAATGATTAAAATTGTATGAAATTTTGTTTTTTCTACGATTGTTTAATAGTAGAAATCTATTGTAACATGTTATAAACTCTAGATTTTTATATAAGTAAACTAGCTGTCACACGTGACTATCCGCGCGTTATAAAAAAAAACTTCATAAGTAGCCTATGTGTTCTTCCAGACTATGTTCTACGTCTATGTCAAATTTCAGCAAGATCCGTGCAGCCGTTCTGGAGATACCTTCTATCATCCGTCCATCTAGACATTCGCATTTATAATATTAGTAAGACTACTAAGTTGATGTCAGATTAACCGATGAGTCATACGTAACAACCAACAATGCATGTAGATATTTGTCCGAATGTATAATTCTTGAACTCACCTCTTAAATAAAGTCGACTAACTTTCTCCTAACAATAGTTATTTGTTCTCAATTTCTTTACACAAATACGTTATTATATTTATTAAAATACTTTCATGTTTAAAAGGAAAATATTATGTTGTAATCAATTATTCATTAACTAGATGTCGCCCGCGACTCCATCCGCGCGGAATTAAAAAAAAACGTAATAATTGGCTTATGTGTTCTGCCAGACTACGTCCTACATATATGCTAAATTTCATCAAAACCCGTTCTAACAAATCATCTAAACCTTTGCATTTATAATATTAGTAAGATATGAGTCGATAAAAAATAAAAAAAAATATACAGATATATTGTGAACCTCCCTTTTGAAGTTCGTTAAAAAAAAAGTTATCTTTTTTACATGGATAGGCAGTGTGTAGCAGAGAAAAACTCGAATACTATTGAAAGTTGCCAGCAGTTCAAATTGGCTACATGAGTCGATATTTTTTTTTAATAAACTTGACACATAATTTTTTGCCAATTGAACAAAAATTTATCATAGAAACAAAGAAACATACGCGTTATGTCAAGGTGATCTCGTATTAAAAATTGTAACACAAAAAACAACACGTACAAGACGACACAGGTTTTTGTCAACCGCTGCAATATTTCAATTCAATGTTTGTAAACATATAACGCGAAAATTTGTGCAACACAAAACGACAATAAATATCGATTTATTTAATTTAAATAATACTATTAAATAAATATTCATAGCAATTATTATTACAACAAAATCAATTAAAAAAAATCAAAACAAATACCTTGCATCGTCACATTTGACAGATAAATATCCCGCCAAAATTATGAACACGAAAAACAGCATCGCTCACAATCGTCACAGAATAAAAAAACGGCTCTATTTTTTTTTTAATTTAAAAACACTAAATCGTTTTTATTTCTACTCGTAATCCGTTTACATGTTCGTTATAATAATTACGTGCGTTCTCACAGCGCGCGCAAACGCGACTACACGTGAAATGGTCTACGACAGACGTTAAATAGTTGGGATATTTTCTGCAGCGTATAGTCTAACAGCTTGAAAGGAACAAATACAAGTTCATAGGAGCCTTACGCGTATAGAATAATTGTTTATGCTAATTTTTGTGTACTAATATAATAAAACTTAGTAGAACCTTGGAAATGCTGAAGGCCTTTTTGTAAATAAAACATATTAATATAGTTTAACACAAATATTGTAGTTTTAAACACGATGTATAAGAATGACATTAATCAAATTTTTGATGACAAAAATTACTCGCTTCTTTTTTTTTAATAAATGACTTTAATTTAAAATAAAATATGCCATAATTTTCTGTAGTTGTAATTACTTTTCTAATTAAGTTCAATATTCAAGTGATTGTAACTTTAAAAAACCTGATATAAAATCCCAAGAATCGAATACGCCCGGCATATTCATGTATACGTCGAATTTATAGCGAATTCGAAAACCATATGCCAAAGATATACGTGATCTGTTTAATAAATCTTATTTATTAAAACTTGATATATTGTATAGAGTTACCAACACCTTGCAATAATAAAGACTTGGGATTAAACGTTACATTTTATTTATATAGAAAAAATGTCTCGTCAAAAATTGTATGTACTACGAATTAGTAACATTTAAATTATTCTATAGTTTTATATTCCATATTTTTTATTTTGTTATCAGTGTTATTGGCTGTATATGCACCCCTGCACCAATGTATAAAAAAAGCAGTGACTAGGGAGGAGTGGCGGCGCCTGGTAAAGCGGGTCCCTGATACGTGATGACCACGACCAGTCTGACAAGACTTTAACGACGAAGAAGAAGAATGTAGGTATGAAATAATCATCATAGCTCCTGGACTATATCACAAGGCTGCACTAATTGTCTAACGCAGCAGACTCTGAGGCACCCTTTAGTTCCGCAAAGTCACAATACAACCTTATTACTCATTCGTGAGTAATCGTTTATTGATCAATTACTGTGCAATTCATATATATTTTTAGAAAAAAAAACTTAATATCAAGTTTAATAAAGGTTGTTTTTTATTCATAAATAAGGAAAAAAGATATCTTTCACACTTAAGACTGGCTAATAAACTTGTCGTTGAAAAAAATGATTTATATTTCTAAGCTACCAATCTTTTTTTTTATTAAACATTTTAACATTAGCTTTGTATATTTCTTGTATTGTAAGTTACAAAGTTCTACTAATATAAAATAAAACAAGCAAAAATAATAGGCATTTTGTGCGTTTTATTTATTTACTTTGCTGTTTTCATTACCTGTCCTTATTTGATATTGACTATTGCCTTTTACTAAAAAAAAACGTACGATTTGATAACACCATTCTGAAGTAGGTTAAAAGTTTATTATCTAGGTAATTTGTGTATTTGTGTTTTTCTATAAACAGCAACATTTGTCCGGATCCGTACACGTCATCTGTATTTATATAAAAGAAAGTCGTTAGTCACACTGCTTGTAACCTAAAAACGCTAAACCGATTTTACTGAAAATAGGGGAGAGGTAGCTTAAGACAAAAATACGACCTTAGAATTTTTATCCCGTATCAGTATGATTTTTTTACTCAGCGTGGACGGAGTCGCAGGCAAAAGTTTGTATGTAATAAAGACGATCGCGGAAAGTCGTAACCGAGTGGATTATGATGATCGATATAATGATAATGACAGCTTAATCGATTTGACGTTTGCGGAACAAAATGTCTTGAAGAGTTTTTTTTTTAATTTCAACTAAAATCAGGAACAAAGTATAATGTATTCTGCCATAACCAATTATGTAAGTTTTATTACTAATATCTCAGGTTCGCATTTCTTTTTGATAAAAACATAAATATTATTATAGAAACTCGTATATTATTTCAAATTAAATCTTTGCTTTTGTTCTGCTAATATTATATCTTGTTAAAATAGGTATTTAATATTATAAAAGTCGGCAACGAATACCTACTTTACTGAATAAACGTCAAAAGAAATTTCAAACGAAAGTTCATTAAAAACACTTTCATAAAGATGGAAGTTTTTTTTTAATTCAAGGCCATGGTAGTGGAAGTTTTTTTTTAATGAAATTTAAGGCGGTAAGTCACTGAGTGGCTCCGTATTTTCGCTCGCGAATTTATGTCAAGTAATCTTTAGGCGGGAAATTTTTAATTCTGTACAAAATGGCGCACAATATTTTTAATCAATTATCTTAAGAGGCACTAAAACTATTAAAACTCAAATGTCTTTAAATAAATTAAGTAAAATTTTTGAAATATGTTTTTGTAAAACGAAGTTGTATTGTCAAGGTCACAATGGCACTGACATAAATAGAAATCTATACGCAGAATAGCAAATTCACATTCACGCGAAAACACTATCCTTTTAGCCATTTAAAGATAGACAATAGTCCTTGTTTTTATTGCTATTTTTAATCTTTTATGTACCTCTTTGGAAACTATTAAGTACGTAATAATCTCTCTTTTCCCGCCTTTTATCAAAAACTTTTACCAAAGACTAACCTTGTTTTTTTTCTAATTGCTTGTTAACTGTTTCCCTTCATTATTTTTTATTCCGATAACATTAGTAGCTGTTGCAAGTTTAAATTCTATTTCTTGGTATTAAGATCATTAATTGTTTGTTAAAGTGTAGATAGGTTAAAATAGGTTAGGGAAGTTTTTAAAACAACCTTTTTGCATATAACCATGGGCCAATTGCTAATACAAGATATGTAAACTAACTTTAAGTTTTGTACTCTGCACCATTTATGTTGTAAAAAAAAAAGAATAAAGATTCGTATAATAAGATTTTGAAAGATGAGAAAACGATTCCGATATTTTAAAAGATAATGAATCCCTCTTACTATCTTGACGATATGTTTTACACAGATATTTTGATGTCAGAAACCTACGATTAGTAACGTAATATTTATTAATAAAACATATTAATTATTGTGTTAAATTATTGTCCATATGTGAAAACATATTTCTGCAATTTTGCTATTTCGTTTAATTAAAAACACGTGGACCAAACGTATTTTAGAATTACAGCTAGGATGAGTACAAGAACATTGTAAGTAGGATAATCCTATTTTTATTTCGATTGATATGCGTCCCCACCGAGGGGCTCGGAGCCTGCCCTAAGTTAAGGGTGATTAGGCCATAGTCAACCACGCTGACCAAGTGCAGGTTAGTTGACTTCACACATATCTTTGAATTTCTTCTCAGATATGTGCAGGTTGCATTACGACGTTTTCCTTCCCAGTAAGAACGTCGGATAAATGTACATATGTAAATCGGAAGTCGAAAAACACATTGGTATATGACGGGATTCGAACCCAGTACCTGCAGATTGCTAGTCAAGTGCTTGACCACTGAATCAGCAACGCTCTAAGTATTAAATACTACGCTAAACAAAGTCGTAAAGTTGCGAAAAATCAAGCCATTATTACCTAAAACTAACAGCTAATATTACCCGTAAATATTATTTTGTGTCCCATAGTTGGAAGCTTACTTTCAAATTTCATCAATTACATACTATTGGAAGGTAAATACAGCTCGTTCCATCACCCATTCTTTATAAAGTTTGTGTTGTAAAAATTAAATAAATTGTTTTAAAAATAATTGAAATGATAGTCACTCTACTTAATTAAGAAGACCAAGTTATGTTGACCCCCCATGGAAAAATTCGGTTTGAATTTAATGTGAGACTAGCTGTCGCCCGCGACTACGTCCACGCGGAATTAGAAAAAAACTTAATGCGTGTTCTTCCGGACTATGTTCTACATCAATGGCAAATGTGTGCGTGATCCATACAGCCGTACTGGATATACCTTCTAACATCCATCCAAACATTTGCTTTAATAATATATAGTATTAGTAATATATAACATAAAATCATTTAGCATGAGCTTACACTTAAGGTTATCAAGAAAAAAATATGTTGAAATGTTCAATTGTTATTGATTCCATCACAATCAGCCGATAGTTTATATAACGCCTAGACTAAATATAAACTAATGTTGCTTGCATTTGGTGACCCGGAATAGCTTAATTGTAATGCACCTAGTGACATCTAGGATAATAAATTTCAAACAATTTTGAGATGGTTAATATATTGACAGATAGATGGCGCGGATTCTTAGATTAAAAAAATTAAAATAAACAAAAAAGAGTAGAATTATAATTTTTTATTTAGTCTTTATTAAAGTAACTTATATTTAATAAAAAATTAAGAACTAAACTCAACACCATTCTTATTCTCTTCAGGATAAAACTTTCTGAAGTTCCAACCGAAACTCCTTTGTGTGCCAGTTCTTGTGAAAACAGGGGATGAAGGTACAGATTCTCCTATTTTAGACACCGTCGATGATTCTTGACTGAGTGACATGTTGGTGGGGGAAAGAGACATGTTTGTTGGAGTGAGAAGGTTGTGGGACGACTTGATATCGTCTTCAAATAACTTCAATCTGCTCGCGCTGCAGAGCGGCGTTTCTACTTGTTCTACTGTGTTCAGATTATCTACATCTATTACGTAGGATTCTTCTTTCTTAGAGTATCTGAAAGATAAAACATTTAAAACCAACATTTATAAATATTCTAATTCCTGAACAGCGCCATCTTTTAGTGACATACGGAAACTATAGTAAAGTAACATTTTCCCGCCTAAAATACTGTTTTTAATATTTAGGCTCTATGTAAAACTTACAATATTGTAACAGTAATGTTTCCCCTTTCAATATATGGGTTGAGAAAATTATTAATTTTTATTAATTAAATTGACGAAAATTAAAAATTTTACGCTCGTTTTAGTAGTGGAACCTTATTAAAAATAGAATAATATTATGTTTACTTGAGAACGTTCTTGAAGCGGTATCCCCAGATAATCTCCTTTGAGAGATAAGACGTCCGGCTTTGAGTCACTGTGCCCATGTTCTTTGAGGATCCTGTCAGACACACCACAATCTCGAACCTACGGACAATACGATGAAACTTTTTATAGTTAAAATATGCAAAAAATCATGAATTGGTTATTAAACAAACACAAATCTATTCATACCAGACATTTGCAATAATTTAGATGGTTGCAGATGCGTTGCTACTAATGGACAGATTACGATTAATATCCACTTCCCGTACTTGCTTTATTTAAAAAGCGTAGGTAAACGAATAGGACTGGAATTTGTCCAACATCACACACTCACTCATCAGACATAGATTAAACATTCTGACAAGCAGGTGGCATACTGGCCACGAGAACCTTTGCCTTTTTTAATATAATAAAAGATAGAATATTGCGCGGGAAGTCAAAGAGTAAACAACGAGGTGAAGTTATTATTAGATTTTGGGAATTAAAATTAATGTAAATACGTATGTATATAGTTTTATTATAACGATTTAACAACGTAATAAATCCGTTTTAGCTTTCGTGTTTTTAATTTACAAAAGAAGTCACTCTTCTGTGTGGACATATTGTATCCGTAAAGCGAAATATTCGTTAGCTAATGTAGACTTACCTATAATCCATCATGTCCTGTGCGGAGAGGTCATAGAGCGGGCTGCGGGAGTCTATGACGTGCGCCACAGTGACCGGCCATAGCAACAGCGCGCGCGCTTGCTTCAGCCGCAGCGGGTGAATATAGTTGTGTACTATTTCACCTTCCAACGTCCTGAATACATTGTGTCAATAGTCAGGGTAAATTGGTACGTTAGGAAACAATAATAGGATCGTCTACTTTGTTCCGACGTGTTAATTTAAATGCGTTAGAGGTTTTCCAATATTTTGGTTCGGTACATCGCATGTCCGGGGTGTACAAGGACGCGGGGGGGACATTGCGCAGCGCTCCAATGACCTTGAACTTTAATTAAATGTGCCATTTTTTTACTTTTGTTTGGAATATTATAGTACTAATATTATAAATGTGAATGTTTGGATGTTTGTTAATAGGTATCTCCAGAAAGCCTTAACGGACGTCGTTGAAATTTGGCATAGATGTAGAACATAGTCTGAAAGAACACATAACGACAAACAAAGACAAAGAAAGGCAAATACGCGGGCGGCAGCCAGTTACAGATTAAACAATTTAAAATAGTTTTGCGTTATAGAGTGTGTAATTTACGAAATCCTTTTATGTTTTCATCAGTTGGAGTTGGTCATGGATATTTTTTTAACAAAGGCCGTATTTTACCTTATAGGTTTGAGCATGTAGGCGGTGATTGTGGACCCGATGAGATGCAGGTTAAGCAAGTCCCACACTCGAAACTGCAGACAAAGCTCACCATCGCGAAGACACACCTGTAAATGCGTTCAATTCTCCGTCAAATCCACTTTCCTTTTCCAGGTTTATGAATCTTAGTTTTTTTTAACTTAGTTTCAGATGGTCGCTTCTACATTTTATTACAAAAATGATCACTTTGAAAGAAACTTACAGTTGCCTTCTTACTGAATCCTACAGAGGAGAGATGTCGGTTTGGTCTGACGAGTTTTGTGAACAGCAAACTGGACAAGCCTCCAGACAACGCAGTGCCAGCTACTATCTGAATATTAGAATAATTTAAATAAACTTAGTTCTTAAAGTTGTCTCCAAAATAATGTGGTTAAAGAAAAAAACTATATGAAACTCGACCTCTATGACCATAACGATGATAGCTTCAGGACACTCCTCGCTGGGATATCGCACACCGTAGCCGATTGTCATCTGAAAATAATTTTCTCGGTTGTTATTAATAACATATTAATAAGTTATATTATAAATTAAAAGAATCTGCATAATATCGTGTCAAAGATGAATTTAAAATTTATCCAATTTCAATGTCAAAATGAAAAAAAAAATCCTTTACTTAATTTTGTGTTATTCCTTCGTCGCAAAACCTTTTCAAGAAGAAAACAGGTAATCTTTCTTTTTGTTGGATCTTAGACTACACAAAAGCATCATTCAACAAACCTGGGTTTCAACAGACATCATAAGTAGACCAGCGAATGAGGAAGTTCCAGTGACACAATGCTCCTTGCCATCTCCTATGTCATCCTGGTAGGACGAGGCTACAGCATACCAGATGCCCGCAAATATGAACCAGAAGATAAAGTGAGCTACTATCATTAGCAAGATTATAAAACGCCATTTGCTGTTAATCTGAAGAAAAAATGAATTATTACCATACATTCGTTCAATATTCAATTCATCTCATCTAATGTACAAAGACAAGTATTTTACACATCTAGAAAAGTAAATTACACATCTAGAGAAAGTTAAGGAAAGTGCGTTACACATTGAGAAATGTGTACACATCTAGTGAATTTATATTAGACAAGAGAGATGTTACACATTTAAAAGTAGTGCATTACACATTTAGAGTTATTACACGTCAGCTACGATGTATTACACATTTCGGAGGAGTGCGTTACTTACCACGGTATTGACGATATCACGCATGTATTTAATAGACTTCGCTGGTATGTTGGTGCGTACTGGGACATTCTCCTCACCACTCTTGTACACAACGCGACGGGACCTGATCGGACGGCCGTGTTGATGCCTGCAGTACAAACATTGTCAGGCTCTGTCAGAACTGAGAGATTGTCTACGCTTTAGTCATCCACCCTAAATCATGTGGAAGTACTGCCAAAACTCTATTACAAAAGATAAAACCTCTCTTTGAATTTCAACGAAACGATTTTTTTTTGTTTCAATGATAAATAGTAGTTTGTTATTTTTTCTTAGTTCTCTGAACTTAGGACTTAGGGTTTTACTAAGTCAAACATAAAGGTCATTAAAATTATTCTAGTCTTGGGTTTTAATTTAATTTAAAAAAGGATCTTGCTAGACAGACGGACGGACAACAAAGTGATCTTATAATGGTTACGTTTTTTCTTTTCGAGGTACCGAACCCTAAACGGCAAGTAAATAGTTGAATTTTGTGAATTTATGATTACCAGGGAGGTGTGGCTAACAGGTAAACCTAACGTTAAGGATTATCAAGCTATAGATAAAATAAAAATATTGTTTTCGACGCATTTCGGCGGAGCCGATGACAGAGCTGTGATCTCAAGAAATTCCGGCGATAAGCGATAGTATCGACTTTGTAGATAAGATAATCAACAATTTTTAAGAATATCAAATAACATGTAAAAGGTAAAAATAAAAAAGAAACATATATTATAAGATGGCAAACGAGGAAGCGGCCAGCTTAATTCACCGAGGAGATGCACAGAAAGAAAATAATTTCCCGTTCCTACGCGTTCCCCTCTCCATCCAATCCACTTCCCCTTTCCATTCTTTGCTTATAAGAAAAGGGTGGAAGGGAAAAAGCAATATAACTGGGCCTTCGCAACACAAAAGGTCAAAGAAAATTAAGGATAGGAGAACCAATTTCCATCTATCAAAATTTTGTGATAAGTATAAAAGTTAAAATCTTTTTATTTTATTCAGATATCTAATTATAAAATAAGACATTATATTTTTTACAATTACAACGCGTTTGATTAGATTTTTATAATCAAAGTAGATCAAGGTTTTGTAGACATTTTTACACGTTACGATTTTATAAAAGCGTAAAATTAGTAATAAGTTTATCTCTGTTTCTTTCCCACGGAATGAACGGGATACCATAATGTTTTATAGAGGAGTTACGGCGTTTATGGTCTTAGGATCTCATTGAAAATTACCAACAAGGTTAGAGAATACTTTACATAATGAGCCTGCTTCAATAACTATTGTTATATGGATTAAACATATCTTATGTTTGTGTACGTAAAGAAATTATAGTATATTGCATTAATTACATACATTATATCATAAATATTTTCCAGTGTGTAAGAAGCAACCTTTACACTTTAATTTTTTACTAGCTATTGCCCACGACTCCGATCTCGAAGAATTAAAAAACTTAGTAGCCTATGTGTTCTTCCAGCTTATGTTCTCCATCTATGCCAAATTTCAGTGATATCCGTTAAGTCGTTTTGAAGATACGTAGTAACAAACATCCATCCATCTAAACTTTTGCATTTATATATTAGTAAGATTCGTTTAATCTTTGATAAATAATAAGACATTTATTAACTAAGTTTAATGAAAAGTCTAAACTTATCTACTTGGATAACTTATCATTCTAGAATTTTTCAATAACTTTATCTATATATGTTTTCGGACTTATTTGATGACATGTTTACGAAAATGTGCACCATAAAAAAACTTATATTGAGTTAAATTTAATTTTACCTTCGCTTTTTTCCTTTCTTTCTCCTTTTACTATAAGGTGTTGAATATCCATGACCTCCGGTTAAATCGTCCGGGTCATTATAAATGCTTTCAATAAAATCAATCCTATCGTACGTTTCATTTGTCACAATCGAACTAACCATCGGTTGTGTCGAAGCATCTGATATATGCCTTGTTTCTGATGATTTAGGACTTTGTGATTCAGTTTCTACATCTATGGTCATTGTTAAACCGTTATCAGTTGTTTCATCTTCACTTGAATATTGTGATATTTCCGATATTTTACTATCAATATATGGTTGTGATGAATTTGAATCTACATTCGTTATAACATTAGGAAATGTAATTTCCTTCCCTTCGACGTATGTTTGTGATATTCTGTAGTGTTTCTTTATTTCTTCGTTTGTATAAACTTCTGTGTTAACCATTGCTGGTATTTCTATGGAAGATCTTCCTGATCCATTGCCGATAGCAGCTGAATAACTTAACGATCTTTCTAACGCACGAGTTCTGCTTCCCCTTCTTTCGTTGTCGAATTCCATATTCCTGTTTTTTTGACCATTAAATAATTGCGTTAATTTTGATATAAATAAAGTTCTTGGTTCGTTTTATGCACTGTTATTGATAAGTTTTTATGATTGAATGCACTTGATATATAATTATTTATCTTTATTTATTGTATATTGTCTTGTTTAAAATTCGCGTTATATGTTAGAAGTGCGTTTCACAACTAAGTGTCGGTTATCTGAGACGAAAGATAAGGCCCCTTTTATCCTTACAAAAGATAAGAAACAAATATATTTGTACTGATTTTATGTTTTGATCAATTCTCGGCCTAGAATTGTGAAGGTGCGTTGACTTGTACAAATAAACACAATTGCTTACATTTATAAGCGTAAACAGATATAAGAAAGAATTGCCGTTAATTTTATTTAATAGCAGTCTTGTATAAAAGACAAAGACTTGGTGGTTCCATACTTTTTAACATTTCAACGCCTTCCATTTTAATCAAATGTTTTAACATAAAAACTTGCTTTAATTTTTTTTTGAATATTTATATAATTAAACTGACCAAAATGCATTGATTATTGTCTATTTCATGTTTTGTAAGGGTATGTTTTTGGTCTTGTATAGAAGACGATGGCCTACACAGATTTCTTTGCTTGTTTTGTATACAAGACTGTGGCTGCGAAAAGGTTAAAGACTTAAACTTACCTTTTTGTCAATAATTTTTCAAAGAATACAACGACTCTTTGAAACATTTGAATCATTAAATAAAAAACCGAAATATTCAAAAATTTATTAAACATTATCAAAAAATGTAAATATAAACTATTAATATGCAATATAAAGAGGTTTTTTCATCTCGGAACAAATCGAATGTTTCTTTCTTCAAAATTGTTTGAATCGTTCACTATTACAATGGAATTCAAACTTATATCTGCGAAAAAACATCAACCCTGAGGGAGTCGGAAACTAATTAGGTTTAAGATTTGTCCCTCCTCTTG